AAAAAGGTTATGGAGAATTTGAGATAGACTGTCAAGAATCTTCTGTGAGCCAGCTATTGTAGCCAAGATCAGCAAATTTAATAGGAGTGAAAAAAAGTCAAAGTCTTTTGTGTATTACGTCCATTTTTATTCTTACAACAAATTTCACCATTTTCATTTTATTTACACCTGCAAATTGCTATGAATGACTTCCAAAATCTGTGCCTTTCAGGATGTATCTTTGATTAGAATTATTTATTTTTACGTGCACACTTAGAAGTGGATGCTAAAACTTATCAGGTGACTAAAAAGGATGCATTTCTAAATCAATTAATTTACATTAGCTTTCCCCCCACTGCTTGCCTTTGTAGTTTTAAGTGTAGTAAAACAGTAGTTATTTTATGAAGTATTAGAAAACCATTTTATTTTTGTCAATACCTAGAAAATATAAAACATCTGGAATCCAAAGCACTGTTTTTCTTGCTGTTTTTCCTACAATTTCCATCAAGCAAGTGTGATTATTTTCCACTTCAGTTCTGTTTCATACAAGAGGTTTCTCCTTTTTGTTTTGTTTTGTTTTAACTCACTTGCAAGGAATTTGAGCAGAAGTGACTTCTTGCTTGGAAGGGGAGCAGTTGGTCATCTTTGTCTGGAGATAACATGAGAGCTGGCACAGTGTTAAAGAATCATAGAATCACAGAATCCTTGTGGTTGGAAGGGACCTCAAAAGATCATCTAGTCCAACACCCCTGCCAGAGCAGGATCACCTAGAGCACATCGCACAGGAACGTGTCTAGGTGGTACGATTTGTGAGGCTGCCATTTCACCTCACATTTAATTCAACACAGTATACATTCCTCACAAAGAAGAACAATTCTAGGATTCAGTAACTATCAGCTTGGCAACACATTTATTTCACACTGACATCACTAAAACCATCTGTTGATCATTTAACTTCCTAATGGACCTCTGACTCCCATCTCAGAATAGAAGTATCTGAAGTCATTGCCTAAGCCTGTAACATTTCTTATTTAATGCTTATTCACAGTGAACTGAAGGCAAATAAATCTTAAATTTTTACAGCTTCATAGAAATCCGATTATAATGAAATATTTAATGCTGACACAGCCAGAAACAGTTAAAAATTATCTAAATTCCTAGTTGGCAGTTTCGTTGGGAACATTATTATTATTTCTTAAATAGACAGTTTTGCCTTTTTAATCAGTTACCCTTGCATGATGATAAATATTTCTAATCAAATGTGTTTCATAGTCGAAGTTATACACCTTAACTTAAAATACACGATTATTTAAATAATTTTAACATTTAAAGATTGATTTAATTTATACTGTATTTTTAAATCAGGAAGCAATTGATGTAATTGTGCAGAAAAACTGGGCATTCGGTGGACAAATGTTGCATGTAAATATATGCAAGAATTTTAGAAGTCATTTTAAGGATTGAAAAGGGCTGACATTGCAACCAGGTAATTAAACTTACGCTAAATGGCATGTAGCTGTGGACCTCTCTGCTCAAGGATACTGTGAATTGTGAACCAGAAGTGCTGTGAAAACTGCTCTATGGGGCAGTAGGGAAGTTTCAAGTTGCTGCCTAGAAGCTTGTTAAATTTTTTCAGTACAAATTTATTGCTGAAAAAGTACACAATATTATGAGTGGCCTGTGTTGAAAGATTAATTTGTGTCAGAGCAGTACTCTGTATATTTTTATCAGATTTAATCCAATTAAATAAACAAACTTCCAACTTTTAAAAATCTGTTGAAAATTGTAAATTTTATGTTCAATGGATTAAGACGTCACCAATATTGAAACAAGTTCTATTGAAATATTATGCAGCACGAATATGGGCTTTTATTTTACTGATAACTTTGGTAGATTTGAAATTAAAACCTAAGAATATACCAGGCAAGATATCTTCCATAAACTGGATTTTTAGTCAAAGTAGATTTAATATCTTGTAGGGATCCTTTTACTATGACAAATTATTATAATAAACATAATTTCAGAAAGTATACAAGGTGTGCAAGCATGTCATTTTTTATTACTGTTTTGGAATTCCTCATTCATGCAGCTTTTTTCCACTACTCTTTCTGGAACATTGGATATGATGGAGTTTGTCTTTAACATTCTAAAAAGAAATAAAAATCATAGAATCATCATCAAGGTTGGAAGACACCTTGAAGATCATCAAGTCCAACCATCTGCCCTACAACCCCCAACCACTAAACCATCTCCCAAAGCACCATGTCCACCTGTTTTTTGAACATCTCCAGGAGCAGTGCCTCCACCACCTCCCTGGAAAGCCTGTTCCAATCTCTCACCACTCTTGCTGGGAAGACATTTTCCCTAATACCCAATCTGAACCTCCCTGGTACAACTTGACCCTGTTTCCTCTTGTCCTATCACTGGTCACGTAGGAGAAGAGACCAACACCCACCTCACCACAGCCTTCTCTCAAGTAGTTGTAGAGGGTGATGAGGTCTCCCCTCGGCCTCCTCTTCTCCAGGGTGAACAGCCCAAGCTCTCTCAGCCTCTCCTGATAAGGCTGGTTCTCCAGACCCCTAATCGGCTTAGTTGCCCTTCACTGCACCCTCTTCAGCACATAAAGGCTTGTTTCATAACTTTATATTTTAAGTTTCTCCACCACCATGCTTATTCCTCCATATTCAACCTGTACAGCTTGAAAGGCAGCAGGATGCTTTGTGCTTTGGAATTTGTGTGGTTTGGCTTGTCATAACTAGAAACTGCAGAAGGAAGGATGCTTCCTTCCATGTGACTGGCATGAAGCATTTCCACTGCTTGTGGAGAACTGACTGTGCTGCTTTGGGAAGTACAGAGAATTTATAGGTCATCTGTAAATTGCATTTTTTTAATGGACTTGGCACTGAAGAGGAACAGGTTAATCTGAGAGGTTGTGGGACTTCCAGCCTTAGAGATGCTGAAAATGTGCTAAAACAAACCCTGGACAACCTGCTCCAAGAGGCCCTGGGTAGGACCAGGTGACCGAGGTGGTCTCTGCCAAACAATTTTGTTTGTTCCTTCATTTGTGGAATGGAAAGGAAAAAGCTGGAAAGACAGTGAGGGGATTTGCCTGAGACAGAAGTTTAATCAGGTTAGATTTTAAGACCGAGCAGATTTGCTGAGCTTTTACTGTTAGCCTGTGTGCTGTTACAGTTTTGTAAAGGTGTTGAAGGTCTGATTAATCTTTTGAAAGATGAACTTTAAGGATCTTCTTGGGTTTTGCATACCTAAAAACCCAATAATTTTTTCACCAGCCCTGCCATTGTCCGTGCATGAACGGCTGTAGGTGGCCTCATCCCCCCCACACTGTTTGGGTAGGAGGCTGTGATTTTTGTGCTAATCTTCTTAGTGACACCCTGCACATGAAGAGTGGCCCTTAGGAGGACATCTATGGTGCTGTTGCTGTGGTTTTTTCCTTGTTTCTGAATGGTTTTGACATCTGGCATTAACAATGTGACTACAAGTGTATTAAGAGAGATCCTTTACTAGCAGTTGTGAAAAGAAAGTCACACACACCAGTGGCTTTGAAAAGAATCAAAAGCAGCTTAGCTGTATTGACAGAATGCTCAATTTGGTTGAAGCATCCTTAAAAATGTTAGCAAAAGAAACCAATTTTGGGAAATACAAAAGATTGTATGAGGTTCACTTAATCTCTTGGAAAAGAAAGGCTTGAGAAGAAGAGTCATATGCATTGCCCTGCATCTTCGTGTGTGTTGAAGAAGTGATACATTTTGCAGAGCAATTTTCTGGAGCTCTCACATTCATTTACAGATGTGGGGGGGAGGAACGTAAGGCAGATAAAAGCTCTTGTATAAAAGTCTTTTCTGCAGGCTATTTTTTTAGAAAAGAGTAAACTCCACTTAATCTGTGCCTAGGAAGACTGAGGAATTTATCTCAGAAGATGCCTTTGATACTACGTATGTTGAGATACAGCTTTCTTAAAGGCAGTGTAGCATCAACCCAGCAAGTCTTGTAGTCATGTAAGCACTGACCTGCCTATAAATCACTATTTAGAAAGACAATTAGCTACTGCAAACTACTTTTATTTATAAACTTTCTAAACATTGTTCGAACAGCCTGCTAATTGCTTTTTAACTCAGATCCTCAAATGTTAGAATATTTTTTTTATTAGAACCAGATTATTAAAAACATGTTTCATTGCAGTTGAAATTGAAACTGCCTCCACTTGCTATGGGAACAAGTCTTTAAAACAAGTCTGGTCTGTGTACAGTGATGTGCCAATCCATGTCTTTATGTAACCAGTGGATGTTTTCATGCCTTTTTGCAACCAGCTTGTAGAAAGAAACTTGATACAGAACCCAGGCTTTTTTTTTTTTTTTTTTTTTTTTAATTTATTTATTATTATTATAGCCTGCATTAAGAGTCAGTAATCTATGTCAGAAGTATGTGCTAATTGTCCCACTGGGTTCAAGAAAGGATGGGATAACTAACAGAAAGGTATGCAACCTAACCAAAGATTAACCTAATTAAAGATTTTCCCAGAGTTGTGTTCCCTGTCATTTGCATGTGATGATGTTGTGTACTGCCACTGTTATTAAGAGTTAAGAGGGGCTCAGGTGCTCTTAGGAAAAGAATTGCATCATACTCTTATTTTTTATCCTTGTTTGTTATTTTGTATATTATGAAACAACAATTAAAAAAAACAGATTTGTTTCATGAGTTGTAAAATATCATATAGCTATTTTTAACTGACAACCTGTGGAAGACCATTATAGGGGTAACCCTGCTTAGGTGGTTACTTATGGTGACACCAAAATCCTCCATAGACCTCTCACTGTGTAATAAACCTTTGCCTAATCTGTGCAGACTGTTCTAAGTAACTTACTGAAGTCACTCAGTTGTAAAATGGGTGCTAAAGGCAGCTGACACTTTAAAGATGTTATAAAAGTTGAAACAAGTCTTCATGAGCTGGGTTGTCTGTTTTTTAAATTACTAATTTGTGTGTGTCTCTTTTGATACAGGCTACAGAAACGCTGTTCCGAATGGCAGTAGCAAGAGGAGCTATTACACCTTTAAGACATGGAGAAGTAAGGCTAAGTAGTGGGTTTTTTTTGCACATGTGGTATAATGTTTTATTAATGTAATGCTTTGTAAATTCCTGGGACACATACTCTCTTCAGGTGAGTGAAGAGGGCTGAACTATGTATAAGTTGCATGCCTACATTATAGTGTTTTTTTTTAAAGGATAACAAAAATTTAAATCCTTCCTGGTGGGGGTTTAAGTATTCCCCTGATTTTTCTTTTGGCCTGAATGATAGTTTAGGCTTATAGCAGATGTGTCTCACAAGAATGTCCTTTTAGCCAGATAAATTTTCACTGGATTTTCTCTATTGAAAGATTATCTCAATAAAAGATTGTCTTTGTTACTTGGTAGCTGTGGAGAAGTTACTTTATCCTTTGTCTGTTCTTTTCAAGAAGACAGTAACTTCAGTTAATATAGGAAGTATTAATACATTAATTATTCTAAAGAGGATAAATATATTGAATATTATGTTGCTCATACGTGCTTCTATTGATGGCAAACCTTTCTTTACTTCTGTGTGTGGTTTTATATCAGCTAAGTGTTGTGAACATTGCTGATTAAATGTCTACAGTAATAAGTGGTGGATTTTATGTTTGGGTTGAATTTAATTTAAAAAAACCCTACAAACTACAGTCAGTCATGACACTGGAAAACAAGAATGGATCTGGACATCGGTACACCTGGATGCTACAGTCTATAGGGCTTTTAAGTGGTAGGAAACCCTACCACTAGATCAAGTTGCACAAAACCTCGTTCAGCCTGGCCTTAAAACCTCTAGGGATGGGGCATCAACAACCTCCCTGGGCAACCTATTCCAGTTCCTCACCTCCCTTATAGTGAAGAATTTCTTCCTAATATCTAACCTAAATCTCCCGTCTCTCAGTTTAAAACCATTACCCCTTGTCCTATCTATCTTCTCTGATGAAAAGCCCCTCAACAGATTTCCTGTAGCCCCTTCAGGCATTGGAAGGTGCTGTAAGATCTCCCCAGAGCCTTGTCTTCTCTAGGCTGAACAGCACCAACTCTCTCAGCTTGTCTTCATAGCAGAATCATCTTGGTGGCCCTTCTCTGGACCCTCTCCAACAGGTCTATATCTTTCTTGTGCTGAGGGCACCAGAACTGTACACAGTATTCCACATGGGGTCTCACCAGAGCAGAGTAGAGGGGCAGAATCCCCTCCCTGGCCCTGCTGGCCACACTTCTTGTGATGCAGCCCAGGATGCAGTTGCTCTCTGGGCTCCAGCACACACTGGTGGCTCATGTCGAGCTTCTCCTCAACTACCACCCCGAAGTCCTTCTCCTCAGAACTGCTCTCCAGCCATTCTTCCCCCAGCCTGTATGTTGTGCCTGGGGTTGCACTGACCCAGGTGCAGGACCCTGCACTTGGTCTTGTTAAACTTCATGAGGTTGGCACTGGCCCACCTCTCCAGCCTGTCAAGTCCCTCTGGATGGCATCCCTTCCCTCTTCAGTGTCAACCACACCACACAGCTTGGTATCATCAGCAAACTTGCTGAGGATACACTCAATCCCACTGTCCATGTCTCCAACAAAGATGTTAAACAGCACTGGTCCCAGTACTGACCCCTGAGGGACACCACTCGTCACCTGCCTCCATTTGGATATTGAGCCATTTCATGGCAATTGATTTTGATCAAATTATTTGGTAACTTTGAGAAAAGTTCATCTAGTAGACACAACATTCAATCTGGAATCCGGACCTAGATTTACCCTGGAATCCCAGCTATTCCTTATGCTGATTAAGTTGCTTTAATTTGTCTTTTGAAATCAAGTGATATCCTTGCATCACTGTCTGAAGATGGACCTGGGGTTTTCTATCCTGCCATGATCTGTAGTTTTAGCTTTTCTAAATACGGATCTGTTAAATTTTTTTAGGTACTGCTCTTCTTTTTCTACAGAAGTGTGTAATGCAATTTCCTGAAGTGTCACTTATGGAATATGTGCAACCCTTCCAAAATCTCTGTTGAGTTTTTTTCAGTGTAGGGTACTTAATTTTCTGTGTTTTAATGGTGAGGTTGCCCAGAGAGTTTGTAGAATCTCCATTCTTGTAGTTACCCAGTGAATGGTGTGAATTATGGAAAAATCAAATTATATATATTGTATCATGCAATGCAAAATACTAGGACAATTACAGGCATATAATGGTCTCTGTTGTGAACCATATTGGTAATTTCTAATGCATTTTATGTTGAGCCAGTTCAGCTCACTGATGTGGTGGAAGTGAAATTTTTTCTTCAGATATTCCCTCTGATCTTTTATCAATTAAACTGCCTTAGGGGCGAGAGATAACCAGATGAGTAGGAGCAAGATAAGTGGTGAGAGAAGGGAACCTCTGGGCTCCAGCACACACTGGTGGCTCATGTCGAGCTTCTCCTCAACTACCACCCCGAAGTCCTTCTCCTCAGAACTGCTCTCCAGCCATTCTTCCCCCAGCCTGTATGTTGTGCCTGGGGTTGCACTGACCCAGGTGCAGGACCCTGCACTTGGTCTTGTTAAACTTCATGAGGTTGGCACTGGCCCACCTCTCCAGCCTGTCAAGTCCCTCTGGATGGCATCCCTTCCCTCTTCAGTGTCAACCACACCACACAGCTTGGTATCATCAGCAAACTTGCTGAGGATACACTCAATCCCACTGTCCATGTCTCCAACAAAGATGTTAAACAGCACTGGTCCCAGTACTGACCCCTGAGGGACACCACTCGTCACCTGCCTCCATTTGGATATTGAGCCATTTCATGGCAATTGATTTTGATCAAATTATTTGGTAACTTTGAGAAAAGTTCATCTAGTAGACACAACATTCAATCTGGAATCCGGACCTAGATTTACCCTGGAATCCCAGCTATTCCTTATGCTGATTAAGTTGCTTTAATTTGTCTTTTGAAATCAAGTGATATCCTTGCATCACTGTCTGAAGATGGACCTGGGGTTTTCTATCCTGCCATGATCTGTAGTTTTAGCTTTTCTAAATACGGATCTGTTAAATTTTTTTAGGTACTGCTCTTCTTTTTCTACAGAAGTGTGTAATGCAATTTCCTGAAGTGTCACTTATGGAATATGTGCAACCCTTCCAAAATCTCTGTTGAGTTTTTTTCAGTGTAGGGTACTTAATTTTCTGTGTTTTAATGGTGAGGTTGCCCAGAGAGTTTGTAGAATCTCCATTCTTGTAGTTACCCAGTGAATGGTGTGAATTATGGAAAAATCAAATTATATATATTGTATCATGCAATGCAAAATACTAGGACAATTACAGGCATATAATGGTCTCTGTTGTGAACCATATTGGTAATTTCTAATGCATTTTATGTTGAGCCAGTTCAGCTCACTGATGTGGTGGAAGTGAAATTTTTTCTTCAGATATTCCCTCTGATCTTTTATCAATTAAACTGCCTTAGGGGCGAGAGATAACCAGATGAGTAGGAGCAAGATAAGTGGTGAGAGAAGGGAACTTGGTGAAAGTGCATCTATTAGATCTGTGAAATTTAACTTGGTGCACTGTGTCCTGTGAAACTATTTCCAAGGTATTCCTTGGGTTTCAGTGGAAATGCAGTTAATGCTAAGCTAGATAATTTATAGATAAAACATGTAAGTATTGTCCAGAATTGGCTTTTTGTGTAGGAAGGCAGTGGAAGAAATAAAATGGTATTTTTTCTCTCATATATTTCTCAGGCTGTATGCAGGAGGGGAAAAACATTTGACTCAAGGAAGATCTTTTCATTAAATTCCATTGTGGGTTTATAATTCATTTAGTCTGAAAATGAGGAATGTCATTAATCACATAAAATTAGTTTTTCCAGAAGAAGCATATAATTATCAAGAGTCATAATAAATTTTTTTTATTTCTTCCAAGAAATTGCTAAATGTTTGCACAGTGCCTAAGTAGAAGGGAAGCCAGAAAGAAAGAGAAATATGAACTAAAGTTGACTGTATTTTGTTTGAGAAGTGCAAACTTGGCAGTGAAAATCAAAGCAGAGCAACTTTTTTGTGGAAATTCCAAACTATGGAGGCAGTGATCCAAATGTGCTAAGTGCTGTTCAGCTTTCATAACAGTACTTAAAAATGTCACCCCATTTAACATCTAAAAGGGTAAAAAATGTGTAAACCCTTATTTGCTTTAAATTCATCAATGTACAAAATTACAATATTCTCTCTGCACTGTTGAACAGATTAATGTGCAAACATTTATTCTATACAGGCAAAGAGTGTGTGTAGGGGGGATAGAGCCAGACTCTTTCAGTAGAGTTCCCAGTGACAGGATGAGGGGCAATGGGCACAAGCTGGAACACAGGAAGTTCCATTTCAATATGAGGAAAAGCTTCTTTATTATGAGGATGATGGAGCACTGGAACAGACTGCCCGGGGAGGTTGTGGAGTCCCCTTCTCTGGAGATATTCAGAGCCCACCTGGATGCAGTCCTGAGTAATATGCTCTGGGTGATCCTGCTTTAGTGGGGAATTGGACTAAATGATCTCTAGAGGTCCCTTCCAACTCTGACAATTCCGTGAAAACAGGGTGCATGAAAAGCTATCCATTATAATATAGATGTCATCCCTAGGTAGATTTAGAATTTATAAGATTAAATGTATGTGGAAAGTGCCTTTTCTTCTCCTTCCAGCCTTTTCCATTCATTTGGACTCATCAAGCCTTTCTGCACATAGAATTCTTATTTTTTTCGTTATTATTCTTGAAGAAATTAAAAAATGAGGTTGTGCTTTTTGTTGGCTTTTGCATGTGGTTTGTAAAATTACCGTTGTGAGTTTAAAAAGCATGCTGCCACAAGAAGTGATCAGATTTGAGTTCATAGGGCTAAAGATGATTTATTTGTGGGATATAGATCACAAAGGTTCATGAAGAATCTTCTCAGCAGTTCCCTTGCTCCTGGTTAGTTTGGAGTGTAACAGCATCCACAGGAGGGAATCAAACCCAGAAACACCATTGATTTTCAGGATTCAATATATTGTTTTTCATGTTAATTAGTTGTTTCT